ATATATATATATATATATATATATATATATATATATATATATATATATATATATATATATATATATATATATATATACTTGTGAATGGGATCGTAATTGGTCGGGCTCGGAAAGTCATTTGTCTGGGCTTCTGTTTGAAAGAATAGGAGACAACAAAGGGGATCGACCCTGACATTCTCACATGATGAGCGAAGTAAACGTTGAGTCATTGTCATAGTTAACTAAGTGTGGAAGACTGTTAGAGAAGTCGACATGATTAGATAGTCGGTCCGGAGAGTTAGCACCTCGGGGCTCGACATACGGGTCAGTCTTAAGGCGTTCTACCGCGCGTATGCCTATGCTACGGCAATCGAGAAAACGCCCTCGGCTGGCCTACCTCTGCGATTGCATATAAAAGCCTTTGCACGTGGGTCAGTAGTCAGCAGGGATATGCCCACCTAAGGGATGGTGACAACTCCCGCAGGTGGAGGTATATTGTACCTCGCGGGAACCCTAACCTGTCGTAGGGAGTCGCGAGAGGTACAGCACGCGCGCACGGTCGGAATTGGTATTGCGTAAAGTGACAAAAAGACTCCTGCATGACACGACCGTGAGGCCCGACACAAAAACTACTTTGCGTCTGGGTGTGGGACCGCCGTGCGTGACAGGGTGATCTCGATAGACGCCCAGGACGAGCTCGATGTTGTCATCATCAAAACCAGGTGTAGGCTCTCCTGAAGGGCCTATGCCGCTCTCCCTCTCCGGATGCCCCGAGAGGTCTCTGTCGTGGCCGTGTGTCCCTCCCGCTCCTCTGCATGGTTGTCTTCAAGAAGTCAGACCTGCACATTAGGCGAGAGAAAACAACCAAGCACACAACAGGATCAACATGCAGGCTCATCAAGTCTCAGAGTAAACATACACCCAATTTTAGACACATTTAACCCTTCCCTCTTTCTATTCATCCTAATCTTGACATACGACACTTAGGATGAGGGTTTATCTTAGGGGTTTTTAGGCCTTTACCTATTCTCTGGCCACAAATTTCTTCAACCTTGTCCCGGACACCCAATCTTTCCACTCTGTCCCCTCCAGCTCCTCAATCTAATAGGCTTCAAATTCGCCACACCGCACAATCCTGTAAGGCCTTAACCATCTTTCGTCGAGCTTCCTCGACCACTGTTTCTTCAGGGAAGAGTCGTATAGCAACACGATATCCCCAACTGTCAACGACGCCTTTCGTACATGTATCATCTGGTCCCATCGCATCTTGTCCTCCATTCGACTCCTTTCTACGTGCTTGGAGGCCTCTCGTATCCTTTCCTCAACTGCACCCACCTGCCGTGCCCGAATATCAAACAACTCTTCAAACGATAGGTTCGTCTCCAAATCATGGCGCCTCCAGGTCCTTAGGAAGCTCTCAATCTGGAAGGTGGCATGCCTTCCATACCATAAAGTGGCCGGCGCATACTTGGTAGTCCTCTTCAAAGTAATATTCTCAACAAAAAAGGCCGTCCGCAGAAACTTTGGCCATTGGCTGGGCCTACCCTCCGTCCACTTGGCAATGAGATTCGTAATGGTGCTATGTCCCCTCTCCACCGGTGCGTTCGTTTGAGGGTGCGCAACGGTAGTGTAATTCGCCACTACGCCATATCCTTCAAGCAAGGTCTGCACCTCTTGGCTGGTGAATTCTGACCCCTGGTCCATCACGAATTCCTTGACGAAGGGTAGCGTAGGTAATATTCCTCGATGCAGCTAGCCAAGACCAGTCCGGTTTTGGTCGGATACCCCGACCATCTACAAACCCGGTAAGGTTGTCCCGCGCATCGAAAATGTAGTTGTACCCATGCTCCCCGACGAGCATGAAAAGCAAGTCCAGGTGTACAACCGCGCCCACTTCTCTCTCCAACCTCGGGTGAAGGGGTTCTCCTGACCTTTGCGCCGATCTCTCTTGGCAAGGAACACAAGATTGACAATACTTGATGCCCATGTCTAGCATTCCATCCCAATGGTATAGTTCACTTATCTTTGCGCACATGACACTTATCCCTCTGTGCCCTCGTGTTATACCATCATGTAACGCCGCTATAATATCGATTTGCCGGTTCCTCCCGCATACAATCTGCTTGGGATTCCCGACTTGCCGTTTTATGAACAAATGACCATCCCTTACTACATAGAGATGCCTAACCTTTTGAGCTTTAGCGCTTGCATCTCTGTTCCTCATCTCACAAGATAGGAGTAGATCTAACTCAAGGTAGATCCCATCATACTCCTCTGCCCGAAACGCCTTTTTAATCTCCTCTTCCTCGAACTCATCGTTCTGACTTTCAGGGGCGAGGTCCTCGCCCTCAACTGAATTTAAAGAGGTCCCCTTGCAGAAGCGTATTCGTGAGTAGATACATCTCTCCCATCAACTGCTCATGCCCCTCTACTTGAGTAGGGTCCTCTTCTATCGTCCACACTTCTTCCGCCAAACTATGCGTATTTGCCAACGCCAATTTCATCATCTAGTGAACATCCTTCCCTCCCCAGGGGTCCTCCTCCTGAAACGGTTTGAGGACTAAATTTGCCTTTTGCTCATATCCTCTAGGCGCTATCCATATGGGGTGGTTGACACAGTTGGGCACTCGCAAGGACCATTTGTTTATATGGAGCCGGACATCCTCTTCCTGGTCCAAAAACCCATCAACTGGTGTAGTATCTTTAGTCTACTCCTGATCCAATTTCTCCCAGTTAACGCGACTCAAGCCATCGACCTTGTTCTTGTCCCCTGAAATTCTCTCTAATTCAAAGTTAAACATCCAAATGTACGTCAACCATCGTGCGACGGTTGGGTCAGATGGAGTATAGTTCTTCAGGGAACAGGCAAGCGCCGTGGGATCCACCCTCAATATGAACCTCCTGCTGAAAACATAATTCCAGAAGATCCTTAAACAATGGAGTACCGCAAGCGTCTCCTTTTTAAACTGAAAGTAGTTCCTCTCAGTCGCATTAAGATTCCGACTTTCAAATCTTAGCGGTCTCTCCTTCCCTTCAGCATCCGCCTGAATTAGGACTCCTCCCAAGGCAGTCGGCCCTACGTCCGTCTCAATGACGAAAGGCTTCTCCTCAGTCACTTCATAGTTAGTCGCCCCCAATACTATCCCTCCTTCCTTGAATTCCCCCTTCATTCGGGTCACTGCCTCTTCCTGATCTTCACCGCAAACCCATTTTTGATCCTGATACACCAGTTTCCTTAAACGTTCGGTCTTGACGGCAAAGTTCTTTACAAAGCTCCTCCAAAATTCACAGGTGCTAAGAAAGCTTCTCACATCTGTTATGGAGTGAAAAGGTACTGATCATTTAAGATTTTATCTGTCTTTTTGACATCCGGCCTCCGACCGTTCTCATTACAGGCAAAACCCCGAATGATAGCTTCTTTCATGCAGTGCTTGGATTTTGGACCACTCGCCGTAAGGTTATATTTCTCCAGCAGGCTCAGGACCTGATCGAGGTCTTGGATGTGCCTCCAGACGAAATGCCTTACTCTGGGCATCACTTCGTCCTCCTCTCTCAGGCTCTTTCGGGGCTTTGACCGCCAAGTCATCAATGTAAGGCTGAGTGATGTGTGGACTGACCGTTTGCATGACCCTGATCATATGTTTTTGCACCATTGCCACTGCATTGGTCCAACCTTGAGGGGCTACATTCATATGAATCAACCCCCTCGGCATGTGCATCGCTTTTACTAGCCTATCAGGCGGGTATACAGGAAACTAGTCATACCCAGAATAGAGGTCTATAAGTGAAATTATAGACCTCTCTGCGCATGATTCTGACAATGCATCCGCATTTGGCAAGCTTCCCGCGTCTCGCACTGTCACCGCATTCAGCCGTTGCAAGCCCTGCACCCACTGTAGCGTCCTGTTTGGCTTAATAAAGCAAAACCAAGGGGATGCATACAGTCCGCTTGAATAGCCTGCAACATGCGTACGCATCTTGCCATCTAGATAGTCCACCACCAGCTTCTCCTCGTCAGGATTTGGATATCACGCGCCCCTCAGATTCGAAGGTTCATGTGGGACGGTGTGAATCCGAATCATCGGAATCTTGTCCCCATCCAGCCTTTCACGCTGATCATCATTGAAGGCGTACGAGCGATGCCTCTTTTTCATCAAGTGCACCATCAAGGCCTTTTCTTGGGTTGGAAGGAAACCCGGCTCTCCAACCATCAGCTTCCCTTCATTCTCAGTGTTAATACGACATGGACCATTCAGCGTCTGCTCTCGCATACGCCGTATCAAACCTCGTTCCCCCTCGTAGTATGTCTCCTCGTCTTCTGTAACGAGCACGGGAACAGGTTGGCACTTTGTATCTACCGTCTTGTACCGTCTTTGAGCGCCCTGCTTAAACCGTCCCCTAAAAAATGTCGGCTTGTTGTTTGTGTCTTCGCCATCGCAGGGACTCCTCTTCCCCCGGGAAGCCGATAGATCAACTCCACTTCCCCCGGGAAGCCGATAGATCAACTCCACTTCCCCCACCTGCAGGCGCTCCAAGACTTGTTCCCGTAGTGCTTTGATTGCCTCCGGATCCGCCATCTCATGTGCCGCCACTATCTCCATAGCCTTGTTTGCATCCATGAGGCTCAGCGACAACACCTCCTCTCTTCCTTCCTCCTCGGGTTCTTCCCAAAGCCTCTGCCGCTCATTCTCTGATTCTACAAAGGTGAACGAGCCGGGATTAGGCCTATTCCGCTCGCTTTCTGGCCCCGTGTTCCGGCAGGTGATAACTTCATAGTTCCAACAAGCCTGATCACTCATGAGCAGTATCATTGTCTCATCGTGCTTATAGAATATCAAAGTCTCCATCTTGCACATGAATGATCTTCCTAGGAGGATAGGGTGGTCGACATCCGGCATGACAAAGAAGCAAGTCCTCGCCCGTACCTTACCAATTTCTATAATCACATTGGATGTCGTGCCGCGGAAAACTGCCTTGCAATTACCTTCATGCAATATGCCATGGTCTGCACGGTCAATCTTTAATCCGAGCATGAGGGCATCCCTTTCCTTGATGATGTTCATCTCGGCGCCTGTGTCCATCATTGCGACACACTTTTTCTCCTTCACTACTTAATTCACCAACCCGCATGCTGCACACTTCCAGTCCATCCTCATTCCAGCTTCTGTCCATCCTACCTTGGCAGGATCGCACTTAGATGGACGTTGGGCGCTAACCTCCGAGATAATCGTTCCTTTAAACCATCTCGGAGTCTCGGGACGGACGCTTGAATATCCTTTAGGTTCATGAGGTCGTTATGACCTTCGAGGAGCCTATCCACCGTTCTCTCCACATCAAAGCCTTCTTCTAGCCTGACTGCATACTTCCTTTTCTTAGGTACGCTGTCCTGCTGGCTCGGCTCGGTTTCCTCCCGGATCCCTCTCCTTTGGGCCCTTAATTCCGTCTGTCGATCCTCCTCCTGTCGGAGCCTCTCGTCCTCTGTATCGTCATCCTCTTCTTCTTCCTCTTCCGGGACCTCCACCACTTCTTTCCTACGCTCGGACTCAAGTCTCCTTCGAGGAGGTGCCTGACTCGGCGCCCGACTAGGGCCAGCCTTACTTTGGCTCCTGGTTTGCGCCACCTGTGGTCCCCGCCCATGCGGGGTAGGTGGTCTGAACGTCATCCCCGACCTAGGGCCTGACCCTATCGTCGTGACACCGGGATAGCCTTGCTGCCCTGACGCTGATCCCGACCTGGATTCGTAGACGAAGAGTCTGGGGAGGTCGGCCTTCCATTCCTGGGCCTCATCACACAACTCCTTTAGCCTCTGTTGGTATCTTCCCACCTTCCCCAGCAGGTCCTCCATTTTCTCCAGGATTGTTAGGGACGACTTTTCCACCTCCCTTGAGTCCTTGTCATCTGACTCAACGATTATTGGCTCTTCCTTTAAAGTCCCAGCCTTTAATCGTTGGGTTACCTCCTCAGTCTCCCCCATAACCTCTCCTACCCTCACGAGCGGGTCCTCCCTTTCCTGCCATAGTCTGAACATTGCCGGACGCGCCGACCCTGCCGCTGCTCGCCTTTGGGCTTCCTGTCTAACTCCACCTGGAACCTTCGGGTAAATATACTGCTCAAATTTATCATATATATCCCCATCCATGTTTGTGAAGGTTAGACCAGCGAGCTCATCGTTCCGCCGCTGCTGGCAAAATCGTATGGTGTGGCCCACAACGCCACAATGCCGGCAGATGGCGTTCCGCCAATCAAAGTGGGGCCTTCCATATCCTTGGCCCCCTTCTTGACTGCCTTGATTGCCTTGGCCCTGGTCCCCTTGGCGATTCCATCCATCACCGCATCCCCCGCCGTTCCTTCCTCGGCCGCCACCCCCTCGACCTCCTTGTCCTCGACCACCATTGCCTTGCCCTCCTTGCACTTGACCTCCTCCTTCCGCCACGCTAGCCTGTGAAGCTTGCTGCGAGGTGGGAGGCTGGGCCATGAACTGACCTTGGGTCGCCGGAAAACTTCGTGGCCCTGCACTCACCGATGGGCCCGAATATGGGACTATCTGTCCTAGGGGAGCTTGGCCCCCTCCACACGAGTTGCAGTGATTACATCTAGGCCAGGGCGTCAGTTGACGATAAGGCATCCAAGGTCCATAGGCTGGCGGTGGCCCCATTTGCGAGGGTCCGGCTGACACATGTGCAGCTGTGGTGGCGGCTGGCGATGCAGCGATTGCCAGCGGAATCTGTCCCTTTCTAGAGCCTTGACCTCCTAGCAGCAAGTTACGCTGCTTGCGTTGTGCCTTAGTAAGGACCTGGGATCCCGTCTCCTCCTCACCGTAGTCCTCCTGTCTGAATTCTTCTTCCCCTACCTCCTTTCCCCGACTTTGGACTACGGTCACCACCTTTTTCTGCATCTCGGTATCCTTGCCATAGCGTAGTTCCGCAAGCACGTCAGTAACAATCCTTTTTACCCCCGGGGTTCCAGATGCAGTGGTGTCCCTTTCCTTCCTCTTCCTCTTCCACAAGCACATCTGATGCTGCTCTACCTGGTCCAGGCTCCCATCTTCTACTCCCTTATCAATAGTGGCCTAGGTAAGCTTCGCTCTGTCCCCTCCATGACTCAGCAATTCTGAGGCCTCTGATGCGGTAAACATTCCTAGAAAGATGGCACATTGCGTCTCTTCTGAGATTCCATGAACTTTCCTCGCCCTTTTTTTGAACTCTTGCACAAACGCCCCTATCGTAGTGAAGTCGTCCTTATTTATGGCTTCAAGGTCTGCGGTTGTCAGCAACCTATCGCCCAACCGATATTTGCGTTGCATGCCATCTCTAAACCTTGCCCAACTGCCATTGGATGCATTTATGACCTTTTCTACCTCTTGATGATGGCCATGGAGCACGTGCTTCAAGATGCGCTGGAACTTTACTGCATTCGATAGCCCCACTAACGCTTGCTCCACCGGATGCAGCCAATCTAAGACTCTCTCTCCACTGAAATGGAAGGTGTCAACCTTCGGGACATTGCTTGATGTCTTCTCATGCCTGTCAATGGCCGCAATAAGGTCTTCCAGTGTCAGGACCTTTCCCGTACCATCCACTAAGCCACTGGGCTCCGGCATCTTTACAGACGTCTCTTTTCAACTTTCTGTAAGAGAAAAACAAAACACTCGCCTATTCAACGCTCTACCTCAGTGAGATCGTTGCTGTATGACATTGTCCTATCTAGTTTCCCCATGACATCTACCTAACTAGGTATGGTTGTCCCTCATAGCCTTTCTAAACTAGGCAGGCAACCAACCAACGTAGGGGTCACTAGACTTTCCTTATTCGTACTCAATCATATACAAACCAACCCACACTGTCATTTTCCTTCCTATGCCAACTTCCTTCTCACTCTCATACCCAGATGTCGTTCCACCAGGGACAACGGTAGGCTTCCGTTATCCCTGGCAACGGCGCCACCTGTCGAGTGCATCAGTCCGGCACCGCACAAGGCAGCACGGGACCCTCCCGGCCGCGTCACGCCGGAGTTGGCCTAAATCCTCGTCGCAAATACACATGGAGCTTCCGCAAGCCGCTCCGGCTGAGTGCGCTAGCTTTACCTCCCGCGAGCCCCTACGACAGGATAGGGCCTACGCGAGGCACGACTTACCTCCACCTTACGGGAGCTGTCACCTCCCTTCGGTGGGCGTATCCCCACCGAGCTACCAGTCCACAGTACGAAAGTTGATCAGCTGCAATCGCAGAGGTGGACAAGTCGAGGGCGTTTCTCGTTCGCTGTAGCACAGGGGGTACGTTGTCGAGCGCATCGGCCTGACACCGTACAAGGGCAGCGCGGGACCCTCCCGGCCTCGTTATGCAGGAGTTGGAATTAATCCTCGTCGCAAATACACATGGAGCTTCCGCAAGCCGCTTCGGCCGAATGCGCCAGCCATACCTCTCGCGAACCCCTACGAGAGGATAGGGCATACGTGAGGCACGACTTACCTCCACCTTATAGGAGTTGTCACCTCCCTCTGGTGGGCGTATCCCCGCCGAGCTACCAGTCCACAGTACGGAAGCTAATCAGCTCCAATCGCAGAGGTGGACCAGCTGAGGGCGTTTCTCGTTCGTTGTAGCATAGGGGGTACGTGCGGTAGTACGCCTCTATGGAACCCGCACGCGAACCGGCATCTTGGGGGGCTGAGGTCCCAAGCGCGACTCATGGTCGGTTGACTAGGACGCATCCCACACGCCACGCACACCACTATAAAGAACAAAAAAATAAAAACACATGCATATATACAAACATATACAAAATGACATAGGACAAACAACACGACAACACTCCTAGTCCCTTAGTAGTCATCCCATAATTTTCCGATGCGGAAACCGGATAAGCGTCGCGCGCGAGGCTTCGTATAAAAACCGCACGGACGCAAGGCTAACTCATACCGACTCGCAATGCAAGCGTACGCAAGCAGTCGCAATGAAGGCGTACTATGTAGTACCTATAATCAAGCGGTCCCTCGTAGATCCGAGTACCGCTTATGACACTCAAGTGTCAGACTCGAAGTATCGTGATGGTCTACTCCCTCACGATATTGCACGGCTGAAGGAATAGTCGTGAGGCCGCCGCGAGACCTCCGGCCTTTGGCCTGAGAGTCTCGGTAGGCAGGGCAAGTAGGCTCTGTACGGGGGAAAATTCCTTCCATGCAGAGCCTAGGGCTTGGGATGTCCTGGACAAGAACCTTGAATCCCGACCCAGAACCAACGTCGAACTAAGAAATCTTCAAGAAGCATATAAATAAATAGAGGGGTCTTCCTTCTTCACTTAACCCCGTTCCTTAGCTAACCCTTAATACGCTGGCTCCTTTCGGCTATGCGAACTTCCAACATAGATACACATATATTTTTACACGTATACAAGGGGGGTAAGTATGTGACGATCGCTTTTTACAGTCACAGTGGAGTTCCTCACAACCATATGTATATGTGTGATCGCAGGCAGTCAAACCCAGAATCCGAACCACAGAACATACATACAATCACATCAAAGAGTCAAATAGAAATCCATGCACTACACAGAGTCAACTCCAACCAATCTCTATACTCATGTCCCTCGCTTTAGCCATGCAAGTCCCAACCTCCAGCCAACAAACCATAATTAAATACTCAGTCACTTTGTTAAATGGCCATTCAATAAAAGTCCGGGTGAAACCGTAATAAAACAATAAAATCACCAGGGCTAAAAACTTTTTAGGTTGAGTATTGAGGGTGAATTAAGGTTGAGTCGTAGACCGACGAATCGGCAACCGACTTGTTACCAGTGGTAACAGAAAGTGATCCTCGTGGGATCAAAGCTGAATCTAGTCCAAAAAAAATCATGAATCGAATTGTTCAAAGAAGGAGCTGTAGCACGAAACAGGCCAATGTCCAGGCTAAACTTATAAGCGCACAAGCAATAATTTTCATACCCTGTTCTTACAGAAATCCTCTTATAACCAAGCCTAAGTCTATCCCTGCGCACGTGCCCAAGAAAAAAAACAGACCTTTGGCATCATCTTCCCTACCCAGGGTGGATCGCCAAAATCGCCACCTGTCAAAATATAATTTAACTCCTCTAAATTAAAAAAATTTCGGCAGCACTTCCCGTAGGAAAAGTGTCATCGCAGAATTTATACTAGCCTAAAAACGAAACTTTTGGATTCCAGAAAGTCGAAATTTGTCTAACTCCCTGAATTTGTAAAAATTTGGGCAGCACTTCCTTCAGAAAGGAAGACTTTCCAAATTTATGCTAAGCCAGATATGAACTCAAACATAAAATTTGAGTCCTGCTAAGACAAAATTTAACCAACCCCTTAGATTTGTAGAAATTTCGGCAGCGCTTCCCGTAGAGAAAGTGTTATTCCAAGATTTATACAAAGCTAAGTTTATAATCTGAAATGACTTTGACTTTTCAAGGTCCAATTTTGTCTAACTCCCTGAATTAACAAAAATTTTGGCAGCACTTTCTTTAGAAAAAGAGGCTTTCCACATTTTTACTAAGTCAAAGAGCCAAAAAGAACTAGATCCTGGAGAAGACAAAATTTTGACTAACTCCTTGGTTTTGTAGAAATTTCGACAGCGCTGCTCATAGAAAAAGTAGCTTACCAAGATTTATACAAGACCAAGTAAAAATAAAAGATCCTAGAAAATGGAAAAATTGATCTAAGTAAAATAAACTTAACTCAACGCAGAAAATGCAGGAGTTGAAACTAACTCCTATGGCTCTAGCACGTGGCGAGCAACTAAAGCAACTACCTATCAACTGAAACTCAGACTAAGTAGTGGCATCACTGAGTCATATGCAGGTCAAACCACAAAGGTAAGTACTCTCACCACCCCAAAATCAACTTAGCAGACAATAGTTCATAGTCTTTCAATGATTTATCCTCTTATACCCAGCTTACATAGGGCATAAAGCTAGACCACCCAAACTTATGGAACATGTCTAGCCCAGCCATGAAGTATACACAAACATAGGGCACAACAACTTTTCTCTTCTTTGGGCATGTGACCAGCCCACCTTAGCCGCCCTTAACTGTTTAAGTATCCAGAATTTATATAATTGTCTGCACTTAATCTTTTGAGGTAGCATATAACTGAGCCGGTCATCTTCAGCTCAAGACTCAGTCTGCCCCTTTGTACCACAGGTTTTATTCTTAATTAGTGTTTTTTGCAGTTGGTGATAAGCTATAGTCATACCACCCAAACTTATGGAACCCTGTCTGACTAACCTGTTCATAGATAATATAATAATAGAGTATAACCAAGTTATAACCTTCTGGTTCCAGCATGTGCGAGACGTTGGACCAAGGTCACCCAAACTTATGGAACATGTCTTGATCCTCAGCCTGGTTCATTTCTCCCAAAAGCCAAAGCAGGAAGAGGTTGAACCACCCAAACTTATGGAACATGCTCAAACCTCCTCGTTCAGGAACAAAAAAAACTGACAAAAACCCAAAGTAAACAAGGCGACCAAGCCACCCAAACTTATGGAACATGC